CCTGAGCCCAGGAGTTGGAGGTTGCTGTGAGCTGTGATGCCACAGCACTCTACCCAGGGGGATAGCTTGAGGCTCTGTCTCAAAATAAAAAAAGGTGTTGTGGCAGGCACCAGTAGTCTCAGCTACTCAGGAGGCTGAGGGAGGAGGATTGCTTGAACCCAGGAAGTGAGTTTGCTGTGAGCTAGGTTGATGCCATGACAGTCTAAGCTGTTGCAACAAAGTAAGACTCTGTCTCAAAATACATCTATATGTATCCCTCAAAGTGGAGAACCCTTTCCCCTGCACCTGTGCTGTACTTCAGCTGTACACACAGCATGTCCACCTGAACCTAAACTGATTGTATCATTTTTAGGAATTCTCCCTCTACGTCAATGGGAATTTCAAGTCCCTTAAAGAAAAGCAGGGTTCAGGACCCACCCCTGGGAGAAAAGTGTACAAAGAGAAACCACAAAAGGATCAGCACTTGGGTTAAGAAGAGGAGATTTTCCAGAATCAGATTTTGGGCCAGGATACTGAAATCCAGGCTGGACCATGGTTTGGGAGCAGGTAACCAGGCACATTCCTAAAAAGAAGGAGCTTTAAGCCCCTGAAGGGCAGGGCCAAGATCAGAGGGAAAGGGCAAGAGCATATCCCCAACTGGGGCCGGAGTAGGTAGTAAGGAAGAGTTCGCCTTCAGGCACACATCTCCATTGGGGCTGAATTTTTCTTCTGGCTTGGGGGCAACTAATTCCTTAGATTGCTGTAGTTCTGAACAAATGACTAAAGGTGCTGTGTTTTTCCCTCCATCATGAAGACAAGGCTCAAAGAAAGGGCGAAGGGGGCCCAAGAAACTATCAGTGAAAGTAAAGATGTGGGATTTGTCAGTCACGTTATAGAAAGAGATGACCCCTGCTTCATAGTCCAGGAAAACCCCGACACACTGAGGAGTCTCTTTAAGACGAAAGGAGATCTGCGGGGATGTGAGAGCTTCATACTTGTTCTCACCACTCTGTCGTACAAGCCAGTGTCCATTGGCAGGGGAGGCAGTGACCTTCCCCTTTCTGCTCACAGACTCACTGCACACACCGAGGATCCATTTGGTCTTGCCTCCCACACACACCTCCCAGTAGTGACAGCCAGCTGTGAAGTACTCGGAGCCCAGGACACTGACCACAAAATCAAATCTCTGGGGGTTGTCGAGCACAGGCTGCCTTCTGTCTCCAAGCCTCACACACTTTCGGTCCTTAGACAGGATGAGCTTGGGATGTGCTGAGTCTGGGTCCAGGGTTACAACCACTGCAGAGAGTCATAGAGAGGTGAGGTTTGTTAAGCACAGGTCTGAAGGGATCTTTGAGTAGCTTTGGAGGGAAAAATAATCTTTAGGTCTGCAATCACTGTTATTGGCCCATTTTAATTAATGGGTCTCACCCCACATATGCGCTGGAACCAAATAATACTGTCTTTCAAAGAATAGGTATCCTGGTAGAGTACTAAGTAAAAGAGAAAGAACTTCTTCACCTGTCCGCAAAGCTGTCTTAATCTCGAGGAAATCCTACTTGCTATGGTTGAATGTGTTCCCTAATAGTTCATGTTTTGGACAATGAGATAGTGTTGGGAGGTGGGAGCAGTGGAGGTGTTTGGGTCATGAAGGCTCTACACTCACAAAGGGATTAATGCATGGCTTGGCACCTGTAGTTCAAGCAGCTAAGGCACCAGCCACATATACCAGAGCTGGTGGGTTCAAATCCAGCCCGGGCCTGCCAAACAATGACAACTACAACCAAAAAATAGCCAGGCATTGTGGTGGGTGCCTGTAGTCCCAGCTACTTGGGAGGCTGAGGCAAGAGAATCACTTAAGCCCAGGAGTTGGAGGTTGCTGTGAGCTGTGATGCCACAGCAATCTACCCAGGGCAATAGCTTGAGGCTCTCACTCAAAAAAAATAAAAGGATTAATGCAGTTCTCTCAGGGATGGGATAGTTCTCTGGAAAGCAGATTGTATTAATAATAAGGCAGGTCGCTCTGCTTTGTCTCCCCTTTTTGCATGCCCTCATCTGCCCTGCCACTTTTCATGAAGCACCATGAGGCCCTCACCAGACATAGCCACCCAATCTTGGACCTCCTAGCCTCCAGAACTGTAAGGTAAATAAACCTCTTTCCTTTATAAATTACTCCATCTTGGGTGTTCTGTTACAGCAACAGAAAATGAACTAAGACATTACTTTTGTCTTCAATGTTCAAAGGAAGCAAATTATCAAATATGATAGCAAACATAGGCTTTCATGTTAGACCCTGCAGACACATAGGATGTTTGAGTCGCAGCCCTGCCACCTGCTAGTCACATAGCCTTGGGCTTGTTATTCATCACTAAGCCTTAGTTTCCTCCCCTGTATAATGGGGATAATAACCTATGTTGTAGAGCTATCATGAAGACTTGATGAACCCATGCACGAGATGGCGCCTCGCTGCTGCAGTGAGTGCATGATGCTCATTTTGTTCCCTAAAATTATTGCTTATAATGATCATTTTTAAATGTTAATTTAAAGCGGATTCTTCCTTAACATTGTGGATTATGAGTGCCACAGTAAGTTTTGCTCATCCCCCAAATACGGGAAACGGTCTCTTCTTGGAGAATGAAGTCCATGAAATTAGACTTAGTTGAAGAAGTAGCAGTAAGCCAGGCTGTCAGTGTGAGATGGAAGGGTTTGTTACACTCAGAATGCCAACTAAGATGATCTGCTACCCTCTCAAGGGGCCAGCTGATCAATTCCGTTGTACTCTGCTTGAAGGAAGATAGTATGAATGGGAGGGAAATGAAGAACCTAGAAAATTGATAAGGGTCCCGAAGCAGTGAAAACTCCAGATCCTTTTGGAACAGCAGCAAAATATGCAAACTATTTAGGAATAAATTAAAAAGAGACATGTGCAAATCATTTTGCAATGAAACTATGAAACTTTTTTGTGATTCATGCTATTGGGGCATATGCCCCACCCATTCCTTTCTTCTCTGAGAATCATACTCATCTCCTAGGAATATTCATTTGCAGAGAAAGAAAAAAAATGGCATATGCATGGAGAGTCAGAAGCAGGGGCTATTGATATGACTGTGGGATAGGAAGAACTTCTCAAACCTGAGAAAATGGGAAAGACCGCACAGGAAAAGATTAACAAATTTGACTACATAAAAATAAAACATTTATGCATCAAAAAATACTGTAAGGAAATTAAAATGCAAGTGAAAAATACTCAGTGGCAAATATGACAAAGGGTTAACATACTTTATCTAGAAAGAATCCTTGCAAATCAAAAAGTAGTCCAAATTGGACAGGAACGGACAAGTCACAAAGAAGAAACACAAATAACTGATTAACTTAAGAAAAATCTCAAAAATCTTTAAAAAAGGCTTGGCGCCTGTGGCTCAAGCGGCTAAGGCGCCAGCCACATACACCTAAGGTGGTGGGTTCAAATCCCCAGCCCAGGCC